AACGGTCTGGCAGGGGTGTGAGAGCAACGGTGTGGCAGGGGTGTGAGAGCAACGGTGTGGCAGGGGTGTGGGTGAGAGCAACGGTCTGGCAGGGGTGTGAGTGAGAGCAACGGTCTGGCAGGGGTGTGGGTGAGAGCAACAGTCTGGCAGGGGTGTGAGTGAGAGCAACGGTGTGGCAGGGGTGTGAGTGAGAGCAACGGTCAGGCAGGGGTGTGGGTGAGAGCAACGGTCTGGCAGGGGTGTAAGTGAGAGCAACGGTGTGGCAGGGGTGTGAGAGCAACGGTGTGGCAGGGGTGTGGGTGAGAGCAACGGTCTGGCACGGGTGTGGGTGAGAGCAACGGTGTGGCAGGGGTGTGAGTGAGAGCAACGGTCTGGCAGGGGTGTGGGTGAGAGCAACGGTCTGGCAGGGGTGTGGGTGAGAGCAACGGTGTGGCAGGGGTGTGAGTGAGAGCAACGGTCTGGCAGGGGTGTAAGTGAGAGCAACGGTGTGGCAGGGGTGTGGGTGAGAGCAACGGTCTGGCAGGGGTGTGGGTGAGAGCAACGGTCTGGCAGGGGTGTGGGTGAGAGCAACGGTGTGGCAGGGGTGTAAGTGAGAGCAACGGTGTGGCAGGGGTGTGGGTGAGAGCAACGGTCTGGCAGGGGTGTGGGTGAGAGCAACGGTGTGGCAGGGGTGTGGGTGAGAGCAACGGTGTGGCAGGGGTGTAAGTGAGAGCAACGGTCTGGCAGGGGTGTGAGTGAGAGCAACGGTCTGGCAGGGGTGTGAGAGCAACGGTGTGGCAGGGGTGTGGGTGAGAGCAACGGTCTGGCAGGGGTGTGGGTGAGAGCAACGGTGTGGCAGGGGTGTGGGTGAGAGCAACGGTCTGGCAGGGGTGTGGGTGAGAGCAACGGTCTGGCAAGGGTGTGGGTGAGAGCAACGGTGTGGCAGGGGTGTAAGTGAGAGAAACGGTGTGGCAGGGGTGTGGGTGAGAGCAACGGTGTGGCAGGGGTGTAAGTGAGAGCAACGGTCTGGCAGGGGTGTGGGTGAGAGCAACGGTCTGGCAGGGGTGTGGGTGAGAGCAACGGTGTGGCAGGGGTGTGGGTGAGAGCAACGGTCTGGCAGGGGTGTGGGTGAGAGCAACGGTCTGGCAGGGGTGTAAGTGAGAGCAACGGTCTTGCAGGGGTGTGGGTGAGAGCAACGGTGTGGCAGGGGTGTAAGTGAGAGCAACGGTCTGGCAGGGGTGTGGGTGAGATCAACGGTGTGGCAGGGGTGTGAGTGAGAGCAACGGTCTGGCAGGGGTGTGGGTGAGAGCAACGGTCTGGCAGGGGTGTGGGTGAGAGCGACGGTCTGGCAGGGGTGTGGGTGAGAGCAACGGTGTGGCAGGGGTGTGGGTGAGAGCAACGGTCTGGCAGGGGTGTGGGTGAGAGCAACGGTCTGGCAGGGGTGTGGGTGAGAGCAACGGTGTGGCAGGGGTGTGGGTGAGAGCAACGGTCTGGCAGGGGTGTGGGTGAGAGCAACGGTCTGGCAGGGGTGTGGGTGAGAGCAACGGTCTGGCAGGGGTGTGAGTGAGAGCGACGGTCTGGCAGGGGTGTAAGTGAGAGCAACGGTCTGGCAGGGGTGTGGGTGAGAGCAACGGTGTGGCAGGGGTGTGGGTGAGAGCAACGGTCTGGCAGGGGTGTGGGTGAGAGCAACGGTCTGGCAGGGGTGTGGGTGAGAGCAACGGTGTGGCAGGGGTGTGGGTGAGAGCGACGGTCTGGCAGGGGTGTGGCAGGGGTGTGGGTGAGAGCGACGGTCTGGCAGGGGTGTGGGTGAGAGCAACGGTCTGGCAGGGGTGTGGGTGAGAGCAACGGTGTGGCAGGGGTGTGGGTGAGAGCAACGGTCTGGCAGGGGTGTGGGTGAGAGCAACGGTCTGGCAGGGGTGTGGGTGAGAGCAACGGTGTGGCAGGGGTGTGAGTGAGAGCAACGGTCTGGCAGGGGTGTGGGTGAGAGCAACGGTGTGGCAGGGGTGTGGGTGAGAGCAACGGTGTGGCAGGGGTGTGGGTGAGAGCAACGGTCTGGCAGGGGTGTGGGTGAGAGCAACGGTCTGGCAGGGGTGTGGGTGAGAGCGACGGTCTGGCAGGGGTGTGAGAGCGAGCAACGGTGTGACAGGGGTGTGGGTGAGAGCAACGGTCTGGCAGGGGTGTGGGTGAGAGCGACGGTCTGGCAGGGGTGTGAGTGAGAGCAACGGTCTGGCAGGGGTGTGGGTGAGAGCAACGGTCTGGCAGGGGTGTGAGTGAGAGCAACGGTCTGGCAGGGGTGTGAGTGAGAGCAACGGTCTGGCAGGGGTGTGAGTGAGAGCAACGGTCTGGCAGGGGTGTGGGTGAGAGCAACGGTCTGGCAGGGGTGTGGGTGAGAGCGACGGTCTGGCAGGGGTGTGGGTGAGAGCGACGGTCTGGCAGGGGTGTGGGTGAGAGCAACGGTCTGGCAGGGGTGTGGGTGAGAGCGACGGTCTGGCAGGGGTGTGAGAGCAACGGTGTGGCAGGGGCGCCCCGTTTTATTCATTACCAAAATATATTCAGCGTTATTGCATGCCTCAACAAATTGGCTCACATTAAAAAATAGAGTTTTGACGTAAATCACAAAACGTCTTGAGAAAATACCTAAATACTCCACATATAATACCTTGTATTAGGACAATTTTTAATATCAATTAAAGGGCTCAGAGTATAATTAAATTCAATAGATCATTATACAAATCTTAATGCAGTTTTCTTTCATTTCAATTAAAGGTATACGAGATACAACTAATTAAGATTGTCTGGGGTCAAGGTCTGTCAACCACTGGACGGTTGTTAAGGCTTCCCTTGATAACTGCCTTATCTCAACCACAAGTCCTTATTGGGCTTATTATCCAGCCTACCCCTCTTAAGTGAAACTACGTATAGCAACTACTTGATCCAAACTACCAATATGTAGTTATAGACCACCATAAAGGTGACTTTTGAGTTATCGAATTTGGACTAACTTGAAAGTTTCTTAACCGCAATATGAATATAAAACTTAACCTTTCCCAGCAATCTTAGGCCTAATAAGCTCTATCTTAGGCCTAACATAGTACATATACGTACTAAACATAGTCGCCGGTATTAATATAAATTTACAGAAAAATGAAGTAGCTAGATTCTTAAGTTAGGTAAAGTTAGGTAAGGTTAGGTAAAGTTAGGTAAGGTTAGGTAAAGTTCGGTTTGTGCGTACCGCCCAGAAACAAAAATGACTCCACTTCGCCATTTTCTTTCTCCGAACAGAAAACGAGACTTAAAAAATAGCCGCCTTTGTTGACAAAGAGTTTTGTTCCATGAAACTGTGAGTGGCGCGGTGTAATTCATCTTTCATATTTGCCTTCCATATGTGCTTATTTATTGCAGTTCCATATGTGCTAATCTATTTCAGTTCCATATGTGCTAATCTATTTCAGTTCCATATGTGCTAATCTATTTCAGTTCCATATGTGCCAATCTATTTCAGTTCCATATGTGCTAATCTATTTCAGATCCATATGTGCTAATCTATTTCAGTTCCATATGTGCTTATCTATTTCAGTTCCATATGTGCTTATCTATTTCAGTTCCATATGTACTTAAATATTTCAGTTCCATATGTACTTATCTATTTCAGTTCCATATGTGCTAATCTATTTCAGTTCCATATGTGCTAATCTATTTCAGTTCCATATGTACTAATCTATTTCAGTTCCATATGTGCAAATCTATTTCAGTTCCAAATCTATTTCAGTTCCATATGTGCTAATCTGTTTCAGTTCCATATGTGCTAATCTATTTCAGATCCATATGTTCTTATCTATTTCAGTTCCATATGTGCTAATCTATTTCAGTTCCATATGTGCTTATCCAATTCAGTTATTAATTTGTATTTTTATTTGTTATGCATTTGGTTGAATGATTTATAACTGTAATTGGGTGGTACAAGGCTGTACAACTGAGCTCGTTGTACTGCCGCTGTACTTGTTTGTTCCAATTTCAGTGTACAGTACTTGTTTACTGTAGAGTTTTATATTGGGATTTTTTTTTTACAGCAAACACCCTTTTTTTCTCCCTTTCAGGTGAGGCAATTACAGGTGAGTGAGGCAGCACCACAGGTGAGTGAGGCAGCACCACAGGTGAGTGACACAGCACCACAGGTGAGTGAGACAGCACCACAGGTGAGTGAGACAGCGCCACAGGTGAGTGACACAGCACCACAGGTGAGTGACACAGCACCACAGGTGAGTGACACAGCACCACAGGTGAGTGTGACAGCACCACAGGTGAGTGAGACAGCACCACAGGTGAGTGAGACAGCACCACAGGTGAGTGACACAGCACCACAGGTGAGTGAGACAGCACCACAGGTGAGTGACACAGCACCACAGATGAGTGACACAGCACCACAGGTGAGTGAGACAGCACCACAGGTGAGTGACACAGCACCACAGGTGAGTGACACAGCACCACAGGTGAGTGACACAGCACCACAGATGAGTGAGAGAGTATCCTGCTTCATCGACATAACTTTCCCTCTACTTCAGGTCAAGGTAGAGGAGTACCTATCGTCAACCACCATCGCTGTAACCATCTGCCACCAATTGCAACTGTATTCTCCTAATGGTAGTTATGGGAGATGAATTACAGCCTGTGAACACTTACGCAAAGGCGCGTGTTCGCTAATCTGAACTGTAACCAATCCTTTCAGATGTCTCTGGGGCTCGTCGGTATACCTGGCATCCTTCTGGGTGCCATTATGGCACTTGCCTCTTGCCACGTGTGCTCATTAATGTCTCATTTGACCTTATTATTTTTATTTCAGTGTTTCCTTGTTTCCCATCTTCACTCTTTCCTCATTTCATGTTTACCGTCTATTTTTTTTCACTTTCCCTTGGCTTTTCCCATTTCTTCGTCTTCTCTTTCACACTCCTTGTACCATCTAGTTCTCTTCTGCCTTTCCCATCAGCTTCCTTCCTTCCCCTCGGGCCCTCAGGAAGGGGAGACTAATGAGAGGGACGGGACACCACTTGCATACTGCCGCCCAAAGATGCTTCAACATTAAAAGGGAAAAGCCGCCAATTAGTATTTCTGAATATGTTGCTGGGGCGGCGTAGGGCTCTCTGGGGGGCGGCGTAGGGCTCTCTGGGGGCGGCGTAGGGCTCTCTGGGGGCGGCGTAGGGCTCTCTGGGGGCGGCGTAGGGCTCTCTGGGGGCGGCGTAGGGCTCTCTGGGGGCGGCGTAGGGCTCTCTGGGGGCGGCGTAGGGCTCTCTGGGGGCGGCGTAGGGTTCTCTGGGGCGGTGTAGGGCTCTCTGTGGGCGGCGTAGGGCTCTCTGGGGGCGGCGTAGGGCTCTCTGGGGCGGCGTAGGGCTCTCTGGGGCGGCGTAGGGCTCTCTGGGGCGGCGTAGGGCTCTCTGGGGCGGCGTAGGGCTCTCTGGGGCGGCGTAGGGCTCTCTGGGGCGGCGTAGGGCTCTCTGGGGTGGCGTAGGGCTCTCTGGGGTGGCGTAGGGCTCTCTGGGGTGGCGTAGGGCTCTCTGGGGTGGCGTAGGGCTCTCTAGGGCGGCGTAGGGCTCTGGGGCGGCGTAGGGCTCTCTGGGGCGGCGTAGGGCTCTCTGGGCCGGCGTAGGGCTCTCTGGGCCGGCGTAGGGCTCTCTGGGGCGGCGTAGGGCTCTCTGGGATGGCGTAGGGCTCTCTGGGGTGGCGTAGGGCTCTCTGGGGTGGCGTAGGGCTCTCTGGGGTGGCGTAGGGCTCTCTGGGGTGGCGTACGGCTCTCTGGGACGGCGTAGGGCTCTCTGGGACGGCGTAGGGCTCTCGGGGGCGGCGTAGGGCTCTCGGGGGCGGCGTAGAGCTCTCTGGGGGCGGCGTAGGGCTCTCTGGGGGCGGCGTAGGGCTCTTTGGGGCGGCGTAGGGCTCTCTGGGACGGCGTAGGGCTCTCTGGGACGGCGTAGGGCTCTCTGGGGCGGCGTAGGGCTCTCTGGGGGCGGCGTAGGGCTCTTTGGGGCGGCGTAGGGCTCTCTGGGACGGCGTAGGGCTCTCTGGGACGGCGTAGGGCTCTCTGGGGCGGCGTAGGGCTTTCTGGGGCGGGGTAGGGCTCTCTGGGACGGCGTAGGGCTCTCTGGGGCGGCGTAGGGCTCTCTGGGGCGGCGTAGGACTCTCTGGGGCGGCGTAGGGCTCTCTGGGGCGGCGTAGGGCTCTCTGGGGTGGCGTAGGGCTCTCTGGGACGGCGTAGGGCTCTCTGGGGCGGCGTAAGGCTCTTTGGGGCGGCGTAGGGCTCTCTGGGACGGCGTAGGGCTGTCTGGGGCGGCGTAGGGCTCTCTGGGGCGGCGTAGGGCTCTCTGGGGCGGCGTAGAGCTCTCTGGGGCGGCGTAGGGCTCTCTGGGGCGGCGTAGGGCTCTCTGGGGTGGCGTAGGGCTCTCTGGGACGGCGTAGGGCTCTCTGGGGCGGCGTAAGGCTCTCTGGGGCGGCGTAGGGCTCTCTGGGGCGGCGTAGGGCTCTGGGGCGGTGTAGGGCTCTCTGGGGCGGCGTAGGGCTCTCTGGGGCGGCGTAGGGCTCTCTGGGGCGGCGTAGAGCTCTCTGGGGCGGCGTAGGGCTCTCTGGGGTGGCGTAGGGCTCTCTGGGGTGGCGTAGGGCTCTCTGGGGTGGCGTAGGGCTCTCTGGGGTGGCGTAGGGCTCTCTGGGGTGGCGTAAGGCTCTCTGGGACGGCGTAGGGCTCTCTGAGACGGCGTAGGGCTCTCGGGGGCGGCGTAGGGCTCTCGGGGGCGGCGTAGGGCTCTCTGGGGGCGGCGTAGGGCTCTCTGGGGGCGGCGTAGGGCTCTTTGGGGCGGCGTAGGGCTCTCTGGGGCGGCGTAGGGCTCTCTGGGGCGGCGTAGGGCTCTCTGGGACGGCGTAGGGCTCTCTGGGACGGCGTAGGGCTCTCTGGGGCCTGGGCACATCTTGGCTACAGATGTGCCCAGTGGGATGTGCGCGTCAGGAACCGTTTGGGTGTGTATGTACATGTGTGGATAGTGTATCTACATGTGTGGATAGTGTATCTACATGTGTGGATAGTGTATCTACATGTGTGGATAGTGTATCTACATGTGTGGATAGTGTATCTACATGTGTGGATAGTGTATCTACATGTATGGATAGTGTATCTACATGTATGGATAGTGTATCTACATGTGTGGATAGTATCAGTTGGCTATGTGGTTACATTGCTTTTTCTGGGCTGATTTTTAAGATTTCCATCCCAGTTATAATTACTGAAAGGTTCGGTGTTTGACACGACGGCCAGTTGGAAAATCCGGAATATTGTCCGTTTTGTAAATTGGTAAAAAATGTTGATTTTTATCAATGATAATTATAATGTTTCCACTATCTGGCGTCCTAGAGAGTGTAATTGACACTGGCAAAGTGTCTGCATGTCCCGAGGGCCTTGTTCTGGTACCAGGGGTAGTTAGAGGGGGGTGGGAACGAGGGAAGAGAAGGGAGAGAGTGAGAAGGAGAGGAGGTAAGGGAGGTGGGGGCAAGAGAAAGGGAGGGGGATAATTAACGTGGAGCACCAATTTCCTGTCTGGCCCTACACAAGTGACCTGACTCACACTGTGTATTGGGAGAGGCAGGAAGGAATCGAAGGGAAGAGGGAGAGAAGAGGTATGACGGAGGGAGGTAATATGGAATGGACGATATAGAGATGGAAAAAGAAGGGAAGGAGGAGTATGTTAGGAATGATCGCTGGTGGTACATGTGGAAGAGCAGGAAAAAAGGAGTATGTAATGTGGTGATCAGAGAAGAAAAAGGGATAAAGTAGATGAAATACAAGAGACAGGGAACAAAGAACTAGAAGGGATAAAAGGAGTAGGATAGGAAAACTGAGGCGAGAGTTGCGAAGTGAGAGAGAGAGAGACGGCACCAAAGAGGAATAGAGAACGGAAGGCAAGTGAGGGATAATAAAGAGAGGAGGAGGAAGTAGATGTAGACGGATGTAAGAGATAAAACTGAAGGTAGAACAGAAAAACTGGAAGTTTTAGTGAGGGAGTGACACACCTGCCCCAGTGTGGTGATACACCTGGCCCAGTGTGGCGACACACACCTGCCCCAGTGTGGTGATACACACCTGGGCCAGTGTGGTGACACACCTGGTCCAGTGGCGACACACCTAGTGTGTGTGTGAAGATTTGTGTACAATTGTTCACTTGTGGGTGAGGGTGTGGGCGGCGTGTTGAGGGTGTGAAGAAGACTATGGAATTTACCTAGTGAAGATAAGAGATAAGACAGACCTAGAGGGTGGCGGTGTGGACGGGTTTCATCGTAGAAATAGTGAGCAGCTTGACAAATGAAAAGGGGGGCGATAGGGAGATAGTGAGATGGAGGGAGGGTGGGGGATAGTGAGGGCTGGGTAATATGGGAGGAAGGGTGGGGGATAGTGAGATATTTAGGGTTAGAGTGAGTGAGTAAGGGTAAGAGAGTGTTGGGGAGAGAGGTGGGGAAGGAGGGAGAGAAGCGGGTGGTGGAGCAAATTACTAACTGGCTCAGACTGTGGGTAATGAGGCTGGTTGGCCACCCACTCGCCCCCCCGCCTCTTGTGGTGGCCAGATTGAGGGCAAGGATGGGGCCGTGAAGGTGGGAGGGGCAAGGATGGGGCCGTGAAGGTGGGAGGGGCAAGGATGGGACCGTGAAGGTGGGAGGGGCAAGGATAGGACCGTGAAGGTGGGAGGGGCAAGGATGGGACCGTGAAGGTGGGAGGGGCAAGGATGGGACCGTGAAGGTGGGAGGGGCAAGGATGGGACCGTGAAGGTGGGAGGGGCAAGGATGGGACCGTGAAGGTGGGAGGGGCAAGGATGGGACCGTGAAGGTGGGAGGGGCAAGGATGGGACCGTGAAGGTGGGAGGGGCAAGGATGGGACCGTGAAGGTGGGATGGGTAAGGATGGGACCGTGAAGGTGGGATGGGTAAGGATGGGACCGTGAAGGTGGGAGGGGCAAGGATGGGACCGTGAAGGTGGGAGGGGCAAGGATGGTGCCGTGAATGTATAAAATTATGGTAACATGAAGCTGTCGAGAGAGAGAGCACGTGGTAACATGAAGCTGTAGAGAGAGAGAGAGCACGTGGTAACGAAAGGGAGTAAAGCTTAGCAAAGGAACGGTTGTGATATAGCAACTGGAAGGAATAGCAACTGAGGGAAGGGGAGAATATAGGATAGGAGGAGTGAATGAGGGGAGAGTGAAGGTGGGAAGCATGGAGACGACAAGGGGAGAGTAAAGATTACGAGGGGAGCGTGAGGAACGAATAGGTAGACACAGAGGATAGAGTGAAAGGGAAGAATGGGATGTCGAGGGGTAGGAGGAGATGAGGGGAGGAGTATGGCAAATGATGGGGGAAACCAGGGGGGGGGAATGGTAGTTAGGAGGAGCGGTGATGGGGGTGTGTGAAGGGAATGGGGCCGACCCCGACCCCCTTTAACAGTAGCCATATAATCATTTTATAGATATAAATGTTATCAATTATATCACAAGAAGTAAGTGAAATGTGGGTAGGCGAGACCGTAGACTTGTTGGCCTGCCGCCCTCTCGAGTCCTCCGTCTCAAGGGGCTTTGTCTCCTTTCACCTCCGACAAGGGGCTTAGGCTGTGTTGTACATACTTGACTTCTACACAAATATCTTTCAGTTCGGTTCCACCTCTCTCTTGTTAAGTCTGGACAACCAGTCCACCTCTCTTGTTAAGTCTGGACAACCAGTCCACCTCTCTCTTGGACTGGTTGTCCAGACTTAACACCTCTCTCTCTCTTGTTAAGTCTGGACAACCGGTCCAAACTACAAATTTCTCCCCCTTGTGGGTCATGTGGCCAGGTGATTGGCCAAGGGGAAGGTGAGACGGAGCAGGAGGAGGAGGTATCCAGTCCCAAGGTAACGAACCTGCCAGCTACAACATTACGGTGACCTCGGAGCTGACCACTGACATGCTTCCCTTTGTCTGGAATGGGCAGGTGGGAGGGAAGTCTGGTGAAGGGAGAGAGATGAGGGGACGAGTGAGAACAGGGTACGACAGGTGGAAGAGGTGACATAGAGAGGAAGAGGAAGAAGATGGCAGAGAATGATAGTGTGATGATGAAGGTGTAGAGGTGAACATGTAATAGGGATAACGGGCAACAGACGAGGAAGGGAGGGACGTGGTGCAGGGGAAGAAGACGGAAAAAGAAGGTAAAATGGGCAGAAAAGGAGGTAGAAAAGTGGGAGGAAAATAAAGAGGGAAGAGTAGGAAGGGGACCACGAAGTGACAGCGGTAAGAGGTCGACTCAGGAGATTGAAAGTGGATGTAGAAGAGGAATTTGATAAAGAGGGGGGAAGAGATGAGGATGAAGCGAGAGGAGGGGGGAGCAAGGAGTATGCCTAGGAGGAAAAGGAAGCAGGAACGGAAGAATAGGTGTGTATCCCCTGACGCCCGAAGCTACCCGGATCTAGAGGATATAGGATGTACACTTCCTTAGCCCTCAAGTCCTTCTCCATCCCTGCCCTCAACTTCTCCCTCCATCTCTGTTCATTAATGCCGACGTATTTTCCTTTAAAACTGCTGACTTTTCTTCCTCCGTTTTCTGTCTTGCTTTATTTTGTTTATTTCCTTTAATCTCCCACCATTTATCACTCCTTTCCTCTCTGCTCCTCCCTGTTTCTCACAGTCAGCTCCGCGAGCTGGTCACATGTCCAAGCCTCTTTGGAATCACTTGTGAGGCGGGTCAAGAGGATTGGAACCCCAGCAGTGGGAGGTCAGATGGGACCATCAGCACCAACCCTTCACTTTGCCCCACATAGACAAGGTTTAACGCTTTGCCTGTAATTCCTGGTGGTTCTCCTTACACTCGGACCGACTCAGAGGCGGCAGTCTAGCGTGAGGTAGGGCAGGACAAGTGGGCATATTGCCTGTACCGGTACTGTAACCTCCGGTACAGGTGCTGTAAACAAGCGAGGTATTGAGGCGAGGGCAAGGTGTTAACGGGGTTATTGAGGCATCGTTAGGTCAGCTGGGGAGTTACATTATCCTGTGGGAGAATATCTTGGCGCTGGTGGGGGATATTGCATGCTAAACTGTCCGGGGGACACACTTCGCGGCAAATGGTAGGAGCCCACGAAGAATATTTCTTCTGTTAGGGATGAGGCCCTCGTAGTCCTCTCGAGACAACTCTTTAACCTGCCTCTTGGCGCCTGTTCGCTAGTTAAGCCGACGACTGGTGTAGTCCGTTCTCGTGATTGACCACAACCTACAAATTGCTAAACCAGAAACGTACAAAACGTGGATTTTTGTGAGCCGGTGTTTTTATAGCGATTTGTAATGTGTACGTTGGGGACAACGGTCAGCAGTCAACGGTCACTACCGTTAACAGACTCAGCTTTACCGTTACGCTGTGTTATTTTATGACGGAAGATGAAAGTTACGGGTTGTGTAAATGATGCTGGGGGGGGGGGGGGTATGGAGGAGCCTAGGGAGGGGAGGGAGCCGAGAGAGGGGGGAGGGGGGCTGGGGGGGGGGGGAAATATGTGATAACTAGATTGATAGAAAAATTTAAAGTTGATGCATCGTTTAGGGAATGTGAACATTATGTTCACGCATTCAACATTGATGAGTAATGTGTGGGGGGGGGGGTATATTGGTGAGTAATGTGAGGCAGGGGTAAGTGGTGTTATGACAGAAGGGAATGGCGAGTTATGGGGGGGGGTGGTGAGTACGAGGGGGGATTGGGTAATGGATGACGAGGTATCTTGTTTGTAGTAGAATGCGATAGTCTTAATACCTTGAGTGTGATCGCCGGCACTGTCTGGGATAGTTTTGCTGCATCTGGGATGGGTTAGATGGGGTCTGGAATAGGTTTGGTGGGTCTGGGATAGGGTTGGTGGGTCTGGGATGGGGTGTGTGGGGTCTGGGATAGGATTGGTGGGTCTGGGATAGGTTTGCTGCA